CCCCCAAAAGTTTACTGTACATAAAAAATAAATAGCATCAGCAGTACAACTTGAGGGCTACAGAGCTTATCAGTTTGGTTCAGGAAGTTAAAATCCCATTCATGTTCTCCATAGCACATTTGATTATTAGCTATAATGTCATAATCATGAATGTAGACTTACCAATAGCTACCTGCGTGTGAAACGATTCTTCCCATAGAAGACACAAGTTTGGATGATGTCAACCTTTTTTCAAGGAAAGACATGGTTTATTCGCAATCTCTGGGAAAATAACTACACTACCCACAATTCTACAGTGTCACAGTGACATCTCTGATTGGTGGAACTCGCTGTTACCATGGGAATGTTTATAGCCCCCCCAGGAACTTCAGCTGTCGGATGCAGCCACTGATGTTCCTGGAAGTTCAACACACTCTATATTCACAAAATCCAATATAGTGCAACATCATAATTAACATTATACACACTACAATAAGTCAAGTTTATGTGTATAGCACGTTTAAAACAGCCTCAGCTGACCATAAAGATAAATGGAGAAATAAGATGCGTGTACATTTTGAAAGAAGTAGGCTAAACTATCGTTTGTTGGCTCTTGAATTGCAATGGATTGTGGTATGTGTAGTTCCTCCTCGGAAAAAAATTATGTGCACAGTCTTGTACTATTGCTTTTTCCTCAGTTTTCCAATAGTTTCTTGGGGGGCTGAATCACATTTTATCGTTTTATCGTCAAGAATATTCTGGGAGCTAATTGGCTTGGTTTCTGGATTACAAATATTGATACAAGGAATTACTTAAATGTCACTGGGGGATTTGAATGAGAACCATAGCTGAGTTGAGCTCAATTTAGCCCGTTTTTTTTTTTTTTTTTTACATAATGGAAAAATATGCAAACACCAATAAAGTAAGGAATCAGTATGCATTGTCTGCTGTTGTTTCTCTTTCATTCAAAACAGACAGCTAAAATTCATCCTCTATTCTTCAAACTAATAAAAACCAGCTCCATTACGTCTCAACATCCCTTTGTCCACCATCCCTCCAGTGAGTTCTTCTCTAGTGACAAAACACCTGCAAAAGATACGCCCCATCCATCCTCCTCTCTGTTTCTAAACCCACAGAGAGCCTCCTTCTCTCCCCTTCCATACATCCTAACCTATATTTCTATGTAACCAAACCTCGCTCCCCTCCAACACATGTGACCTTGCCTCTTTCAAAGGTCAAACAGCTGGAATGGATCGATGGTTTCAGAGATGGAGGGAGAGACTGCAGCAGAGGAGGAGAGAGAGGCGAGGAGAGGGGAGAAAAGGCAGAAATGAAGAGATATTTTGAATAGAGGAGGGAGAGAGTGAGGAGAGGGAAAGGACGGGAGGAGGCGGTCAGAGAAGGGATTTTGAAAGAGAGGAGGGAGACAGGATTAAGAAATCCCTGCATCAGCATTCCTCACAGTCTCTATGGGAGCAGCAGGAGAGGAGGGAGGGAGGGAGGGAGAGAGAATGGAAGGTGATAATTAATAGGGAGATAGAGATGGAGGGAAGGAGGGGGAGGTGGTGATGGACTAAGTGGGAGGAATGGGAGGGAAAAGAAGGAAAAGAAGAACAGGACAGAGAAAAAAAACAAGAGTGTGACCATTTCCTGTGTCCTTGTTCCACTTAGGAGCATTGATTGTCACTTCCCCCACATGGTTGTAAACATCAGTGTGTGATTTTCTTGTAGAGTGCTAAATGTACAGATACACAAACAGACAAGGTGTTAAGAGAACACAGTTTGATATAATGCACTAGCACAAAGCTTCACACACAGCCAACACTGCCTACAATGTACATAAATAGTGTGGAAAAAACACAATACAATAACAGTGCTGTAGACTAGAATGGGCTCATGTGTCAACATAGAAAGTGTTAAAGCCAAATATTTAAGTTGTACATCTCACCCAAATCTGAAGGAACAGATAATAATTTGTTCTAAATAATGTACAGGTTACTTTATATAGAGTGCAGACAATACTGTAATAATAATAATAATATAATTATATTTTTCCTGTTATATTTTTGAGCTGCATTAGCCCAAAAAGGTAGGTGACATTAACTTAATTCTGTGCCTGAACGCTTGGTTTATAGATCCAGATGGTGGACTGGTTGTGCAGATTGAAGCTGATGCAATCTCTTGCAACAAAATATTGAATACAATTACCTTTCTTTTTTGCTGGTTAAAATATCTATCTAAGTTTTATACAAGCTACAAGAAGTCCTGACACACACATTAGCAAGTAAATTCTGTTTGGATAAAGTCAGTATCGATAGTTTATAATTAAATAATTGATAAGGGAATGCAGATAATTGATCGAAATGTTTGTATTTCAGGTTCTCTAAGCTCCTTTTATGCTATATAAGCTCAAGTCCATTTAACATTTACTATTTACCATAAATAAAGTAATGAGTCTAAACAGAGTTGAAGATGCAGCCAGTGTTAGCAATTACACAAAGACCAGCATACATTCCAACATGCAGCTTTAGCTATTCTAACATATTACTTAGCTGATAATGTAATAGGCCTACATAATGGCATTAGGGTTAGGGTTAACCTTAAAGAGTTTTAAATTAAGCTAATGTTAGCACATTGATAAAAAGACTAGCAAAAAGGAGTTACCAAACATTGCTAATAATTTGCCAACATGCAGTCTTAACGTCTTCACACCTAGTAGCTTTAGCTTTTCTACGCTATGACTTAGCTGGTAATGTGATACATAAAAACATAAGGGTTTGAATGCAGCTAATCCAGTTAGCATAATGACTAGCATACAGGAGTAGCAAAACATTGCTAATCTTTTGCCAACATGCAGAACAGCTACATGTTATACCTTGGATATGTAATGACTTACTAATTTTTTGTTATACAGTTATAATTCAAATCTATACACATCTATGTATGCTGTAACATGCGTCTTAACATTATGAGATAATATTCTTCATCCACAGCCCCTGTGTGAAGATGAGATAAATCATTGGTACTTTAGTTTCTCTGTGATAATTGGAACAGTGTCTCTCTCTCTCTGTAGCTGCACATAAAGGATTAACACAGTTATCTCTGCAGAAACAAATCCCTCCCCTGTAAATATCAATGGCCTGCAGCAGCACAATAACGGTCTAGCCAGTAACCCACACAGCACAGATCTGTTTTTTAAAGCCTGCAGTCGCCACAAGAACACAATCAATAATTCAGGAGCCTCCTTTTCACCTGTGAATCAAAATAAAGCCTCCATCGTCTGTCTTTTTTCTGTCTCTGCGGTTTTTGTCCGCTTTGTTTAACCCTTTACACATGTTTCTATAGTGTGTTTATCTCCTTATAGCATGTTGCCTCTTCTCTTTCTAAAGGTCTGGTTTAGGTGTTTCTTATCGCTCCTTCATTTTTCAGTGGGACTGTGCAAGAGTTCTCCTCTTTATACTGTTTGACAAAAGGTGTGACACAGATGAGTGAAGCATTCCTGTGTGGATGAGCACACACACAAACACGGCTCCTTGAATCATATCACACATGTGAAGGATTCCCTTCGGCACTTATTCACATTCCGGGTCAGCATAACTTGGCACAGCGGACACTAACACAGCTTATGAAACCATGCAAGTTAGACTCTTCAGCAAACAACTGGAGAACTTCTCACCATGGCAGCCGACTGGTCAGTCAAGAGTCTGGAAGATTTACGATCTTTCAGTGCTTTTATCTATTATCTCGACAGAGTTCTGGACTTTATCAAAGACCCCACATCAAAAACATCAAAGACATTTCTAAGACTGCATTGATTGATTTGATTATCGTTTAATTATCTTTGTGAATTTTCAGCAGAGAAATCACAAAGTAGCTGGTTCCAGGTTGTTAAATGTAAGGATTTGCTGCTTTATTCCCTTAGGCTTTCAACTGTTGGTTTGAGCGTTTTTTTATTATGCAACTTTAAGCTACAGGAAAATGTGATGAGCCATTTTCCCAGATTTCTCCCACCTTCATTTCTCCACTCAAACAGTCAGCTTCAGCGAATGAACTGCCACTGTCTTGTCTTCTGACATAAAGTCAACATCTGGAGACTTAAAACCCAGCCATCCTCAAGCTGCAAACTGGCAATTTTGCATAGAGAACAGACAAACCAGCAAGACCAGAGAACAAAAAAACAGATCCCATGCCAGCTATCCATCCAGCCTTGACCCACATCAGGGACCCAGTCTCAGCCCAGGACCATGACCATCGTCCTGTCATACACAGACCAACAGAAACAATGAGCAGAAACTAGAAAGAGAAAAATGTGTGGATAGATGGGGTGTTTTTATACTTTCCACCCTATTAATACTGCTCAAAAGACCTTCAGGAGGCAGAGGAGAGGGCAATCTTGCTTAACTCAGAGCGAATATAGATGCAACATCAATTTATTTTTGATTTATTTTCCCTTTCAAAGGAGTGCCACGCTTGTTTGTTTTTACTTCACCTGGCCCTGACATCAAATCGTATCCCTGCTTTTCATTGCAGAGCTTTATTGGCTACACTTGGCAAAGCAAAACAGTCTCGGGAGTTTCGCTAGAGTGGCAGAAAGGAAGTCAACACTAGATGAGAACAGAGACGACTATCCGGAGGCTCCACTGAGCTAAGGAAACAATGTTTTCAACAAAGGAGCTGAAAAGACAACAGGCTAAATAAGTTTAGTCCGAACCCTGCTTTTTGACTGAAACTTCTAGTTTGGTCGAATGGATTAATCTTCTTCAACAAGGAAATGTGTTTAATCAAAAGGAAACTAACAAGAGGAACAACTACTGCTACAAGAAATGACACAAGGATAGCACAGAAAACAAATAGCACTTCATCTTCCTCTTCATCTGCACTAGCTACAATAATTTACATTTTCATGAACACACATGCCAACAGAGCATTTATTCAATCCAGTATCATGTCTGTTGATAGATTCAACATGGCCTCTCCTGGCCTGGTCCAACACAGCACAGTTATAAATATTTTGATCTTACCTTGTCAATCTCCTGCTGCAGGACCTGTTTGGCGACCTCCAGGTCTTGCAGCCTGACCCTCAGCTCCTCATTCTCCTGCTCCAGACGACTCCTCTTCTTCTCAAAGCTGTCCAGCTGGCTGTGGAGACGGATGGACACATCCTTTGCCACCTGAGAGGGTGAAGAGGGTAAGATAGAAAAAGGATAGTTTAGATCAATCTAGAAACAGGCAAAGAGGTGGAGCTGAGGCGGGCCTTAAGCCTTCTGGTAAACAGCTACAATGCACCCACCTGTCAGTCCACTCAGCCATGCCCCAATCATGCAAATTAACATAATTCTAGGCTTTGATATAATCAAAATGGATGTGTTATAAAATAACAATAAACCTCCGCAAAGTTTATAGATAGGGGAATAAGCCATTTTTTAAACCAGGCTGTAAAAATGTTTATTTCTGCTTAATTTGTTTAACAAGGGCTTAATAAGGCTTATTGGGCTTGTGAAGCCAGCCTCAAGTGGACACTCGAGGAACTGCAGTTTTTCGCACTCTCGTATTGGCTTTATTTTTCAACACTGGAGGCTGCCGCTTTTAATATTAATAAACATTCTGAACAAAAGCTAATTTTAAGAATAAGAGAAGCTTGCAACAAAACGCAGTCAGTAGCCATTTTTGACTACAAAAACCTTCAAAACATAATCTTTAGATATTGTTTAGAAGTTTACTTTCTGTCACTAACTCAAGTAATCCAGAACACTGGCTTTATTTTGTCTTCCTTTTTTAAAGCCTAGGATGTGTATAAGGACTCCTATTGGTTAAACAGGAACAGATTGGTGTTGGTTATTTTAGCTGAGTCCACAAAGCGTGTCATCGCCATCAGCAGGAACTTTGTCTTTAATCAAGTAAAGCCTAAAAGATAATTAATTCTACTCTGGAAGGAACTGATCCTTCATACATAATGTGGTCTTATGAACGTCTGATTGTTTCTCCCTGAAGGGGTTTATTCATTAAAAGTTTAAATGTCAAAGAGTCGAACTAGGACAAAGTCAAATCTCTGATGTCTCAAATGATAACAACACGACAGGAAATGAAAGGCAAGAACAAAGAGTCATCTGATATCAGATTTATAGTTTAGTGGAACTAATGCCATTTTAATGTTTGAATATCTAAAATGACTAAAAGTACATTTTATCAGAATCGTATTCGTGATTACTTAAATTATCATTGTTTGACATTTCACCAATGAAACTTGATTAAACATTAAGGAAGCATCAAGAGCTTTATGTGCATGGGTCTGATAAATATAGGTATGTGACAGTTAATGTTTGAGATCAAAATGTGTTGACCTGATGAAGACTTTACATAAATGAAGTCAAACCTGTTCTGTGTTTTGAGGAAACATAGAGAGCCTATGTTGCACCACAGGGTTCATTTCTGTGTTTTCTGTTTCTCATTGGTTATGGACATTTTGGATTCTTATTTACCCATAAATTACACCTCAGGACTTTATGTAGCCACGGCTGCATTACAAAGGAATAACACTAAATATTTAGAGCCATTAAACCGACCATTTCTGACTCATGATGCAATATACAATCTCATAATAGTTTCTGGTAATGCTGACCTTTAAGAAGAAATACGAGCTTGCTTTTTTGCCATTAACATACTACTTTGTTGTAATTGCAATGCATATATCATCCGATTTAAAATCAGGCTAAACAGACTAACTCATACTATTGCAGTAGTGTTCTGTCTGAAGCAGCACAGTTTTTATAGAGTTGTAACAACTCGCCATCGTTTTCCCTCTGGAGAGACACTGCAGAACTGTTGAAACTATCTTGTTATTGGTTTAGATTAAGAAGTTAACATTGGAAAGTCAACATGGAAATGTTTCTTTAATTTCTTAAGGTGATACATTCCAACTGCTTGTTATGTAATATAAAACTACTAAAAAAAGAAATTCTCCAAAAAAACTGAAAAAGATTTTGCCATTCTTCACTTGAAAATATTCAAATTCATCTGGCACATTACCCCTTTAAAACAAAATATATTCTAGTTCTAAGCTAAAACAAAAAAGAGTGATGCCTGAATTCATGACCATTAGAAGCGCAAGTATGTGAAGTTTTAACCAGTAATTGGATATCCGTCATTTAAAAAAAAGTTTGTCTAATCAATCCTGCAATGGCTCATAAATGTTCTTCAAAATGATTATTGAGTTTAAACTGAGACCACTGAGTAATGAAGTCAGGCTATGTTTTCACAAATACTCCCACATAATAAAACCTTTGCGTTTGGCTTGAACTGAAAAGGGTCTCAAACAAACAAAGTGGTGACCAATGGAGAAACATACAAACATATTGTAGTCCTGCTCTGCACAAATGGCCGACCAGCTGCTTTCATTTGATTGTATGGAAACAAGCTTGGCACACAGCGAAACCTGGTGATCACAATGATTGTGTGATTTCTGTACCTTAAAGCAGCAGGTGTTAGACTAACCTCACACAACTGATCATATGTTTTCAACGGCTTATAGATGTATTCATGGGGTAACTGATTATGACATAATTCACACATACAATAGCGTACCTATTGGATGCAAAAAAAATCAACTTTACATCTTGAAAAGTTTAATGTGTGTTACCCTATAGAACTATAATCTACCTGATATGTTACATATGTGGGCATCAATTTGGGGATCTGTTATGATGACTGGGAGAGAGGACGTTAACTAATTGTGCAGCAGCAGCTTAATTAATACATTTAAAAACATGTAATTATTGTGAGTGGCTTATTTGTGTCTATTTGTTTGTAGAGTCTGATTGTTTCCCCATGACTAACTAACATTACTCACAATTTGTGTCTTATTTGTAGAACCTCAAGGGAAACAATTTGTGATTGTGTTTATTTACTAGGTTTCTGTTTGCCTAATATCAATGTGTTTGTGTGTAGGTTTCCTTGTGTTAAGCGAGTGTGTGTGTGTGTGTGTTCATTTGAACCAATGCCAGTATGCAGCTGAGTCCCACAATGCTCCTCTGTGCTGCCCACTCTCACTCCAACCAGTAGTTCCCTGAGCTCCACCATGCTCCAATTCATGTTTCAGATCATTTTGTTTGTATACTAGTGTGTGTGTGTGTGTGTGTGTGTATCTGTTTGTAGATTGTGTATCTGTCATTCATGTTTCAAAAGTACCCCATAGATCCCCTTGTCTTCTTGAAAATTCCTGATCCTTGTCTATTCCTTGAACTTCTATAAAACTGTCACTTATCTTCTAATTGTGTTACCCATGTGTTATCATCACCATTTCAGGTTTATGCGTATTAGCCCCCAATCCTCAATCCTTCGCTTCCCCTCCACCATTTCTTTATTGTCCTCCTCCTCAGATCTCCGTTGTAAGTGTTTGACTCCTAATAAATGCTGTATTGTTCTTCCATGTTTAAGGGAATCGTGAAGGAATGTAACACCATTGAAGCTTTGGTTTTACCCAGCAACAGAGCTATAGGGTGTAATTAGCATTCAAGCCAGGGTGCTCACGAGCAGGGGAAGAACATGTATGTGTGACTGAATGTGTGGCTGTGTGTGGGGGTGTGTGTTCCTATGTGTGGGTGTGTGTGTGTTAAAGAAAGTGTGTGCATTTGACAGAGACAGTATGGAATCAGGAGAGTAAAGGAAAACCCCTGGTAGCAGAGGGAGTTTCTTGGCAGTTCCTTTACTCACAAACACATTATAAACATTACACACACGCACACACACACTGGCCACGGGGCAAACAGTAATAGCCTTCAACAAGTGGCAGTTAGTCGTCAAATGGAGCTCTTTCTTGTGTGCTGAGTTTGGATGTGTGTTTTTATGCATTGAACAACAAGATTCTTGTTCCTCCTGTTATCCAGCCTCCACACACACACACACACTAGCACGCACGCGCACACACACACACACACACACACACACACACACACACACACACACACACACACACACACACACACACACACACACACACACACACACACACACACACACACACACACACACACACACACACACACACACACAGACTTCACATGGTGCATGTTAAACCTCTTTGATAAAATCTACAGGGAGGGAAGTCGTTGGGGAGATAACCGTTATGGAAACACAACAGCTGTGTGTGTATTATCCTTGTGTGTCTCTGTGTAGTGTGTCCATGTATTGATCTTTGTGGTCAGGTTTTGACTTAATAGAGTGACATCATGTCTAGTCCAAACTTCCCAATAAAGCTATTATTAGCTAGGACAAGGGTTATAAACAAATTTAAATTACAGTTTTTCACTATTGCATGAACACAGTTCCTGAAACAAGGCCCTGTTTGTCAAAACTCAACACACACAAAGACCAACAACACATACATAAAATTAAAATAAATCCTACATCTCAAGCTAGAACAACACTTCATTCAAAACTATATCAACTCTTCTAAAAATGTAAGCTTTGCTTCAAAATGATACACATAAACACCACATAAAAAGCTCTTTATGTCATGTATCAAACTTTTTATAATGACTGTTTATTGATTAAAAGCATTGACTGTGCAATAAAAATGGACAGCAGAACTGCTCGCCGGTGGTGAAGCCAAGATGTTTCGCCTTTGCTGACTGGCTGCAGTAAAGGTCATAAACCCCGCCTCTTCCATGTGTACAGATGGACATTGGTGATTGATTTGTCTTAAAGCTTCTTTTTTTCTGAGAAGCTTCTTTATTTACTTTCTTTATTTCATTAATAACCTGATACAAAAAGGTATAAAATGTCATAATAGAAAGCTCTGTTCACAATTATGGCTCCTGCCACTCCCGTGTGCGCTGAGTTAGCTGCAATCACGAACTGTACAACTCTACTTCCAAATGAAGTTGTATTTGGACACCAGTGCAAATGTCCATTACAGCACCCATGACAGGGGGTATTTTGACTCCATTTTTGTACAACAGAGGAGGTGTGGCTGCGGTGTCCATTCCTTTCCTCAAACCTCTCTTCCTCTTGTATACATTTTACCTTTACTGACGACAGAGAGCTGTCCTGTTTTGAGCTTAGTTTCGCACAAATGGTGAAAGCAGAGGGAAACTTTTAGCCAAACTCATTTTTGATGTATAGGTGTTTAAATGATAAAAGTGTACCCAAAGTCCCTTGCAGAGATTTCCTGACA